TAGGTCAAGGTTCAATTCTAGGTTAGGGCACATGCTGGATGGCTTGCTCAATCCCCAGGAGGGGGTGTGCAGGAGGCAGTCGATCAATGATTGTCTCTCATCATTGATGTTTCTATCTCTCTCCCTCTCCTTTCTTCTCTATAATCAATAAAAATATATGTTTTTTCAAGTACATGATTCTTTTCTAGTAGTGATATGAAGTTCTCTTTTGACTATTAACTTGATAGGAAATTCTTTATGGTTTTACTCAGATCTGTATATTTGATCTTTATATAATACATTGCATTTTTGTGAATTCAAAAATATTGTGTTTTTTCTACTACCATTGAATTGTTGGGTTTCGTATTGTTTTGAAGAATATATAGGAGGCTTTAATTTAGTTGCTGAATATTACTCGTAGCTCTATGTAGTTGTTTTCTTTTAAAGGGAGAATCTGAAAATTTTTTATAAATTTTATCTTGGAAATTAGTTTATCCATTATGTTTAATTTTAGGAAATGGTGCTCTTGCAGAACATTCTGAAAATGTGCATATTTCAGGAGTGTCAACTGGTAAGTCATTTTTTGTAATGTTTAAATTTCATGCATGACTTATGTGGTAAATATTGAAAGCCACCTGGTATCTTATGAAGTGATATTTGGCTATAAAAATTATTACTGCTTTTTGCAGCATGTAATAAGGAATGAAGTAACTGGAACACGGAGAAATTCTCATAATATAAAATTGATATCTGCATGCCCATAGGTTGATTATATTTTTCCAAATGGACTGCATAATTATTTTTTCATAAAAACATTGAGCCAAGAGAAGTTAGCTTAAAATGAATTAGTATTTTCTTTACATACAATGAAATTTATTAAAATGTAATTCTGAATGTAGCATTAAGCCTTAGAAATGAAACACTTTGCTTGATTTTTAGATTAGACTACAACTATACATAAAACTGTTGTATTTGAGTGCACAATTTATATGCCATTAAAAAGGCACAATTTATATGCCATTAAAAAGCAACTCCAACATATTTGTGTCCATGAAATTCATTGAGGTAAATACATCTTCCCACTCATCTAAGCTTTTATAACTTAATAATCCTTAAAGGCCCATAACTATTAAAATTTTCATTCTTAGTGACTTCCACAATTTCTTACCGTTTTTGCTATCAACTGCAATTACTAGGAGAGCAAAATCTTTTATTTTGCATATATTAAAATAGTTTCTCACTGTTACTTTATTATTTCCCTATAGTTTTTATAAGTTTTGTAGTTTAAAAAATTGAACTTGGTATATTTATCAATCTGATTTCTTCCTGTCATCTTGTTAATTGTTTGGTTGTTTTTTCTCATATGAAGCAAAGCTGAAAGTTTCTTCTTTTATATCTGATTTTATATTCAGATAGTTAATAGATTTAGCAAATACTCTAAGAGTTAGTATGCACTAGCTAAACACATCAACAAGCTTGGTTTTCTGATAATGAAAAGCAAAGCAAGTGCCTTAGTAACCTGTATTCTTTTAGTTTGTTTCACCATTTTCATATGCTATCAAATGGTATATAATTATATACATCAAGTAAAAATAAGGTTATTTTAAAGATGACTTTAATTTTGTTCATTTTCTATTTCAAATAGCTAATGAGAATTGTGATTATTTTTCCAAGTTGTACCTGTGAAACAAGAAGTTCGTTTACCAACATTTTAATTCACACAACCAAGTGGTTATTGTCTAATTCAGTGATTTTCAAAATGTTTGGTTTCAGAATCCCTTTTATGCTTTTAAAAATATTGAGAACTATTATTAGTCCTTTTGGGCTTCCATAACAAAATACCACAGACTGGCCCAGCCAGCATGGCTCAGTGGTTGAGCATCAACCTGTGAACCAGGAGGTCAGTTTGATTTCCGGTCAGGGCACATGCCCAGGTTGTGGACTCAATCCCCAGTCAGGGTGTGCAGGAGGCAGCCAACTGATGATGTGTCCACGGTGGACACCCTCATCAGTGACTCTCATCATTGATGTTTCTCTCTCTCTCTCTCTCACCCCCCCTCTCTGAAATCAATAAAAATATATTAAAAAAGAAAAAGAAAGCATCATAGTCAAGAGCCAGTCGAACACATGCCTTCTTCTCCCCACCAGGCCTGACCAGGGTGTTGACCTTGGCCACGGCAGTGTCATAGAGCTTCTTTGCCGCCTGTCTGATCTGGTGCCTGTTGGCCTGGACATCCACAATGCACACAAGTGTATTGCTGTCTTCTGTCTTCTCCATGGCTGACTCGGTAGTCAGGGGGCATTTGACGATGGCATAGTGGTCGAGCTTGTTTCTCCTGGGTGCGCTCTCCCGAGGATATGTGGGCGGCCTTCGGAGCCTCAGTGCCTTTGGCCGTCGGAAGGTGGGTGATGTGCGGATGTTTTGTGTGTGGCTATGGACGCCTTTCAACACTGCTTTCTTTGCCTTCGAAGCTTTGGCTTTGGTTTAGGCTTTGGGTAGGGCAGAGGCTTCATTCTTAGCTTTTGGCGCCATCTTCCTCATCAGTTCTTTTGACCAGTATCATACAGAGTGTCTTTTGTCCGTTTTTCAATGAAGACGGGAAAGAAAGCTTACTGTATTTTGAGTGATAATGAATCCGTGAAGGTTTTTAGGATTTCAGAATATAGAAGTAGGACATATGAACTCAAGGAACTATCCTTTAAATGAAGAAAGTGAGTAGAGAATATAAACAGTATATTTTTTAAAAGATCACACACATTAGTTTAGGATACTACTAATTGTAAAGGCATTATCTGCCCTCAGAAAGTTTATTTATGAGACACTTAAGCTTTTAGAGTAGAGTGCTCCCTTTAAGTTTCAGAAAGAAAAGTAATGGTTGTATTGTAAGTTTTATATATTATACTTTTATATGTAATATTATATACTATGTTATTAAATCTTATGTTTTATTCCGTATGTTTTAGTATATTTCTGTATTATATAATTACTAGTACTAGAGGCCCGATGCACAAAATTCATGCAAGGGGCTCGGCCCTCACAGCCCCGGCTTCATCCAGAAGGTCGTCCACAAGGACATCCGGAAGGACGTCCAGAAGGTCGTTCAGCTCTCCCGTCTAATTAGCATATTATGCCTTTATTATTATTATAGATACCATTTAATGTATTATCAAATATTTATTGAGCAATTATATATTTATAGCAAAGTTATTATGCATTATAATTTTATATTGTATTATTATAATAAACAGTAAATGAACTCAACATTAGAACAGTAAATGTGAGTCCTGGGATCATAGACAGAGCAGGTGATAATGTGACAGTGTGATGCTTAGCTGGCAAAGTGAAGTTCATCTGCTGGAATGAATGGGCCAGATCCAGCGGAGGTATAAAAAAACGAGCTGTATTTAAACATTTTACATTTTCTTTTCCACTCTGTAACTTTGAGAATAATCCTTTCTCACTTTAAGAATATTTATGGAGTACAGTAGCATTTCAATTACTGGTAATTTGGTGAAGGCATGAATTTGAATTGGATGTACTGTGACACTGTTGTGCAAAAACCAGGCACTTAGCAGGTAAGCAAACTGGACTTTGGATTTTAGTTGCCTAATAGCCCAATAGAAGTTAGGGGTGATTTGATCTTAAACTGCAGTAATAGAAATATAGTATTCATAAAGTAGATGATAGTTCTTTACTCCTCCCTTAAACATATTCTGAGTAGTGTTTATTTCTGAGTAGTGTTTATTCCTGATGGAGGACACTAAGATTGGAACTCTTCGGGAAGAAGATGTGAAATACTAAAAATTATGTCAAAGCTGATAGAGGTGGCTTAAAAAACTGTGAGCCCCGAGGCCATCTGTCTTTGTTCAGGTGCTGATTTCTGCCTTACCTCTTCTATGTTTCCAGCAAGAATCATAGTAAACTTCAAAAATTAATAATTTTTACCATTCCAGAAATAGAAATAGTAGCTTGCTTAGCATTTTAGTCTTTTGTAGTGCTTAAAATTGGAAAATGTAGGTATCATATTAATAGTTATTATGCCCTTTCAAGTGAAAAACATTGTCCTTTTATGCCCTATAAAAAGGGTATAAAAGGTTGAATCTTCATGTTCGTCTTATCTTATGCTTTGCTAGCAAAATTCAGATTTATCCTTACTCCTTGGAAATTACGGTAAAGCTGGTTAGATAGTTCCATTAAGAATATTCTTCTATCTTATTCATATGCTGTGACCCTATTGGAACTAGAAAAACTATGGGTGTTTTTTTTCTATTTTCCCTTCTATATTTTTCCATACTTTTGCCTCTGACTTTTTAAAATATTTTACTACCATATAGTTCTTGATTGTTATTTCTTTAGTGACCTTCGAGAAACCAAGGAAATACCTGCCTTGTTTAGAGCTAATGATCAAGTGCAATATTTTGGTCCTTAAAAAAAAAACATTACTTAGAATAATAGAAATAAATAATAGGAATAAATATTACTGCATTTATTCTTAAGTAACTGTGCTAATGTAGAGTTTATTATAATTAAATCTACATTTAATTATAAGCAGCGGGGTATAGGATTTCCTGCTTGCAGTAGAAATGTGTGGTTTTTGCTAACGGGTTCAAGAGTAATGAGAGAGAATCCTAAGTATGAGTGATAGATTCATATAAGTTTATATACTTGCCCTGATTCGTACCTTTTATTTTTCTTTATTATTTCTTTTTACTTTGGATTTTTTTTTATTGCTTGAAGTATTACAAAGAGCATTACATGTGCCCCCCTTTTTCCCCCCTTGACATTCCCCTGGCCCCTACCCCTAGTGTCTTGTGTCCACTGGTTATTCTTATATGCCTGCATATAAGTCCGTTGGTTGATCTCTTAACCGCCCCCACCAAACCCTCCCCAGGCCCTGTAGAGTGTGACAGTCTGTTCGAGGCTGCTCTGCCTCTGTATCTATTTTTGTTCATCAGTTTATGATGGTCTTTATTATCCATAAATGAGTGAGATCATGTTTTTTCATATATATTTATTGATCTCAGAGAAGAAGGGAGAGGGAGAGACAGAAGCATCAATGATGAGAGAGAATCATTGATCAGATGCCTCCTGCATGCCCCCTACTGGGGATCAAGCTCGAAACCCAGGCATGTGCCCTGACCGGGAATCCAACCATGACCTCCTGGTTCGTAGGTTGACGCTCAACAACTGAGCCACATCAGTAGGGCTGAATTATACCTTTTAAGTGATCATTTAAATCTTTCCCATCTTAGAGTAGTAAATATTGCTGTTGGAGTACTCATAATTATTTCCTGGAGAAGTTCAGTTTTATAGCTTCTTGAAAAAATGAGAATGAAACTTGGAGTAATTCTAAGGGAAGTAGGCATGTTCAGTCTGTCTCCTCCCACCTCTGTTCATCCTCAGTGACAAGATCAGCTCAGGTACCAGGTGATCAGAAAACCTATTCGAGGAATCTGGACAGCAAAGGGTCAAAGAAATCAAGACCCTAGGTGTGGACAGCAAACCCAGTCAGGCTGCATGGAGGGCTTTCAGACAGAAGTGGTTTCTTTCTAGCATGAGCCTCTGTGTTT